CTCATAAAATCAATTTTTCGTTTTACTTTACGCAGAATATTGCACCATATATATATATATATATATATATATATATATATATGTGTGTGTGTGTGTGCAGTGCATTTCGCATATAATTTAAATGTTATTTTCTTAGCGATAAGGGAAAGCATATCTTGAAAGATAATTCCATCTTAATGGGGAAAAAGTAGGAATGTCCAAGAGTTATTTGCGAACAGATCCTCGGTGAAATATCGGCGAAAGATCTCTCGCCTCCCGGGAAGATTTCGCGCAGCGACCACCGAATAGATTGCAAAACTTCTCCCGTGCCGTAAATAACTCTCCTGTAGTCCAGAAACAACGAGATTATTCTTGAAACTTGGAGGATATTTCAAGGGGGAATCTCGAGAATGCCGAACATAAACGTCGACCTATTTTCCTATTATTAAACCTCAGCCTGACACACGTCCTTCTGCGTGAACGGTCGCGTCGGGAAAAGGAAAGCTTGGAAAAAAACAAGTCATAAAAATATGTTCGAAGACAACAACAGTTACCTAGGATGAAAATAACATTAAATTCCGCTTGTGGTAGCTTTGTAGAGCATTTCTTGCACGACTTCCGACACTTACGCTAACCGCTAAAGGTTAAAACAGATCGCACGGTCGAACCACAGAATCATGTATCCTTTCCTCATTTGCGGTGCGTGTCGTGTAAACATCGACTCATTGTTAAAAATTGATCGAGAGGAACGAATGTTAATACAATTAAAAAAAAAAAAATCTCGACGTCCGATATTAAAACGTTATATGATGTAATAATAGTCATGTCCGACCATTTTTTGGTGTGACTATGTTTTTCCTGTTGGAACGTATGACGTTTGATATAAATTTGGTGAATCTCACGAGAACATCTTCCATTAGTTCTCGGGGATAAGTGGCTAGACGAGGCCATGAGGACACATGGTATAAACTCGCTGTCATGTGCAGGCAATGCGACGTGGCGTGCTTTCTTTCTTTGCGTTTCACGTGCACGCGTATTTCTTGACTTCGTATTCTGTTAATAGCCACGGAGGCTCGTGCAAGTGACATTCGGTTGGACGATTTAATTATCGGACCACGCGCTTCCCGTAAGCGCCATTAGACGTAATGAACCGGGATGTAATGAACTTTAACGAGACCGCGATTCGCGCAACTTTCTTCCTTGCCCCGTCAATTTAGCGATTATAACCACGATCATCACTATCTTTGCTTCGCCGTTCAATTAGATTATACTTAGGATAATAAAACGTCGCTTTATCTGAAGAAACGAGGAGAAACTCAGAAGTTGCGTCTTCGGAAGAACATTGTTGACAAAGTCTGGAATAATCAATACGAACTTCCAACATAAATGAAACAATTAGAGCGTAATAGATTTACACGAACTTGGACATTTACTTCGATAATTTTAAATTTATTTAGCTACTTTTGTGCAGCTACTGAATTACTTAATCTTTTTTGTTTCGCAGTTACGGCCAATCATCCGCCCCAAAGACCATGGATTCCATTGACGAGGCCGAATAGGACAAGACCAACATGTAAGTACTCATCCGCTTCATTCTTATTCAAGTTGCTTGTAACATCAGATTTGAAAACATTTTTCACATTGCGAATAAAATAAATGAAAGATAAATTCTTTATTTTGATTAGTAGAGCTCATTTATTCGATAAAAGAAAATTTCGTTGAAAGTTTTGCATGATAAATTATTTTATTTATAATTACGCTACAATACAAAGTACCGTTTCCTCGTAATCCACAGAAGCATCAATCGTAGCTCCGAAACGCACTTAATCTTCTTCGCGTTCACGTTATAATGCATGATAAGATTTTCATTAACGGACTCATCAACGTCGTTTCGTGCCATCGTACATTTGTTAAAATGCGCGAGCCGCGGCGCGCTGAATCAATATGTAATCTTCACAACGTTGCACGCGTTGCATTGGGAAGGTAACGGGCGAGCCCGAAGATAATGTATGGGAAAACATACGGCTGATAGTGAGTAATGTGCCGCTGTGACAATCGCACATGGCGAGTCAAAATATGACGAGCGCGCGAACGCGACGTAAAACAAATTACAATTTACGTCCAACAGCGTAATAAATTCACGCACTAAAGGCCACGCGGCGCCTGCCTTCCCTCGTGTCGCGATATTGAACTTCCCCGTTACTTGGGTCGTTACTTAAAGCTTAACACCGAGTGCATTTATGCCTGTATGAGATCGTAACTACGTTCGTTTCGCCATCAAATTAACGAAAACCATTTCGTAAAACGCGATCACGTTTGAAACAAAATATCTGTTTCAGAAGTAAAATATCAAGAGATTCACTCTTTTCATCTTTGATAGCCTCGGAAAATGATGACAAGGATACGTATTAAGCTCATATCTCCTTTGCATTTCTTTGATTTTAGTAATCGTGTTATATTCTCTGTAGTATTTTCTTGATCTTATATTTCCTAAAGTGCTTACTGTGATATCAGTACCTTTGAAGATGTATAAAACATATTTTTTAAATTAACGAATCATCTTCTAAAAGGATATATTTTCGGTCTTTTCCAATATAAATCTAAAATAGAAGTATTAGCTATATTTCTACTTTAGACAGTTACATTTACTCCGCTGAAAAAAATTTCTCGTTGAAAATGGAAGAATCAGAATTTTCTGGTTAAATTAGAATTCTGGTTGAGATAATCCGAATTCTGGTTGATACAATATTTCTGGTAAAATCTACTCTATTCTTATCTTTTTTTACCAGAATAATTACATCAATCAAAATTCTAGTATGTTCAACTAGAATTCTAATAGATTTAATCAGAAAATTTCGATTCGTTCATTTTCCACTATAGAATTACTGTTTCATCCAACCAGACCATTTTTCTCAGTGTAGGTATCACCTTTAAATTGTTACATAGAAGTTACTTAGAACAATTTAACAGAAAAATTCCAAAATAAAATAGTATTATTTTCACCTATGTTTAAACTTGTCACTACTTTATCTTAAAAAAAAAAAGAAGCTAAAAACAGATGCTAGTAATGATACATTCACTGAAGATTCGCAAAAATCCTACCTGTACACGTTTATCCTCTCTTATCCCAATTTTCCGAAGCAAGGGACTCGCACGACGATATCATGCAGGGTGAATCGCGTAAATTCGCCTTAACGTACCCCGGGTCTGGACGATAGAGGCACCTTGACCATCGGTCAACGCCGACGAGTTTCGCAGCCCCGGGGTACCGCATCCCGCCATCGCCGACGGCTGTATACCGCACCATCTGGACAGATTTATTGCACGACACACGGGCACGGCGGCGGCGGTCGAGGTAGCAGGAAGAGGGTGAAAGAGGGAGAGAAAGCACACACCGACAGAGAGAGGTACAAACGGCTGGCTAGCTGGATAGCTGGATGGTTGGCTGGTTGGTTGGTTGGCTGGCTGGTTGGCTGGTCTGCCGCCGTCCAAAAGGAAGCCATTGTCGGCTCGCGCTGAACGCGATAAATCATTTCGCTACGGTTTACGCTATTCATTATTTACGAGGAGCCCTATTATACTTACGACGGTCGCTGATTAGTCATACAGTTTGCACGCATATATGTAGATGCGTATTGTGTTCTCTATAACAAACTCGCGATTGACACTCGCAATTCTAGTAGGCTCCTTTAATTCTTTCCTTTCTTTCTTTTTATTTTATAAAGCAGAGGAAAAGTATCTCGGTTTAATTTGTATTTTGTAACTCGTTATAGACACAGCGCTCGTTTTCTTGATTACGAAAGTTTAGTTTACGAAAGTTTAGATATAAATGTGATACTGAACTTATTTTTAAACTTAATTTTATGTCACACAGACGCAGAAAATTATATTTAACTTGTGAAAAAATTATAAGTAATAACGTAAATGTTTATGATATGTGCACAGCTATTTCTCGCATAAGCATAATACTTGCTTCTAGCTGTTAAATTGCTAGTCTTGATCACGTGTACGATAAGTAGTAATTTATCAATAATTTAGAGAAGCACTAAAGTAGTAAATGACGAATGATTTGGCGTATCGCTGACTTTACCAGAAAACATTTCACTTTATTTTAAAGAAAAAAAAAAAACGAAGCGGGCTATTAAATTCTGGATAAATTACAGGTGCTTCTATTACCTCTTCTAAAAGGCGCTCGTCGTAATTCCCGCAAGTGAACCTCACGTACGGGGTGTATAGTAAATTGCGGCAATCAACAACGGAAATGCATTTCCCGATGAATTTAAAGACGATCTTCTCGTAGAATCGAAAATTCCATTCTAGATTATAATTTAGATTAAAGTTCAATTAATGGGAGGTTTATTTAATAGAAGGAGAGAACGTAACTTTTCAGTCTTTAACTATATGTAGCTTGAGAACCATAATTTGTATAATATTATGAGTGACATTATTATAATGAATATATAAAAAAACAGTTGTTATATTTATTTATTTATGAATTCTATAAATAGTCTAAATTCAAAATAAATAGACAATATAAATTTTAATTAATAAATAATCGTCATACAAATTATCTTTTTCTAATTATAAATTATAAAGGATGCTGCACATTAACAATTCAGTGTTAAATAATTGCTCAACTAGATTATTTACGATTTTCTATCATAGAGAATTTAATGTCAAATCATTCATCCCTTTTAATCATTGTACTTCATGATACATCCTGTATAGGATCATGCTTATCTCGTTGCTCGAAGAAAGATACGTTGAATTAAACCGCAGACGTATCATTAATAAACGATTGTGATCGAGCATTGCGTATCACGAGGTTATTACGTTAGAAGAAAGAGAAAGAAAAAGAGAGGAATCGAAGCGTGCAATGACGCGACGTTATCACGGTGGCTGCGTAATCGCTCAATGCACGTTGAATTCGGTGAGAGCTGCCGCTTATGAACGCGGTAATTTAGGAATTACGCGTGTGCAAACGCTTAAAACCAATTTCACTGAGAACACTGCAATTATCGCGGCGACCGGACATTACGCGATTCCGCTGTACATGTTCAGGGTGGTGGGTCTCTTCGCTGCCATCATCACCGTTATGCCACGGGACCTCTCGACGAGAATTATCTTCGTATATGCGTTCCGGAACGCGCGGAATCCCTTTCGCTTCAACGATGGGGAACATGTGTGATTCCGCCGAGCATCAATCGTACCCGAGCCGTTTCATAGTCGGTATGAATTTAATTTTCGAATGAGCGAACTCGATACTCTCATATCTCATCTTGATTTAGAGAATAATTCTACTCGATCGCTAACACCTATAAATATAAGAATTATTTTGTTTCTAATCGATTTAATTAATATTTATATTATCTATTTATTTTGAATTTAGACTATTTATAGAGAATTCATAAATAAATAAATAACAATCTTTTTATATATTCATTATAATAATGTCACTCATAACATTCGTATTATACAAATTATGGTTCTCAAGCTACATATAGTTAAAAACTGAAAAGTTACGCTCTCTCCTTCTATTATTTTGTTTCTAATCGATTTTACTGAAGTATCTAAAAATTTGAAAGCTAGATATAGATCTAAAAATTTAAAAGCTTTAGGTACAGATCTAGAAATGATTTTGTTGAATCTCACCAGAATTATGTAGAACGCTCAAGTTTCCCCACACAATTATTTTAACAGTCCTAGTATTAGGTGTTGGAATTAATTCGTAGCGTTTTACAAGTGATGGGAAGTACTTTCATTAATGTATTTTTTAATGCTCATGTGAAATAAATAACATTCTTTCATTAAAAACGCTACGAATTAATTCCAACACCTAATATATTTTTAGATACTTTAGCAAAATCGTTCTTTTCTTATAGACAATTGAAACATTCATTTTGCCGATTTCTCGATTCGTTACCTCGTATTAATTATCTTATCCGAAAGGATGGGCGTATCCTGAATGTTTCGCACGTCGTGCGAAGTTAGCGCGATGCCGACCCTGACGGCAGCCAGACAGGCTCGTGCAAATTACTTCTTGCACCTCGCGACGACCCTCACAATCATACTCATTACAGTGGCCCATACATGGCCGGGTCGGGTTCTACAGGACACGGAGCAATTACGCGCCATTATCATTCCGACGCTTGTAACTGCTTGCGCACGCGCGATTATATTCTTATTAGAAATCGTTATTGCCGTGGCGCACCGGTAATCATCGCCGTTGCTGCTTTTGTCGCGATTATTACCGTCATCGTCGATGCAACGTTACACGGGCGAGCGAGCGAGTGAACGAGAAAGCGGTGCCGAGTTTGTTACTGTTAATATCGTGTGAGGAGCCGACCATTACTATCGCGTTCGCCTCGCCGGAAGATCATCGTCGTTGCCTGTTACTTAATTACCGCGATTATCCCGATCTACAACGATAAGTAATGAAATAATGGCGTTCAGTCGTGAGATTCATTTAGATTCTAGGACAAGGCTCTGAGATGCGTATATATAGCTGACGTGCGCTTCGTTCATTAAGCTTAAAATAGTGCCTAGCACGAAAGTGTGAAAGTCAAATTTTTGTTTATATTTATAATTGTTTATACATTTTTTTTATTAATTAATAAATAGTGTTATTAAATGTTATTAAAATTTACATTATAGCATGAAGTGAATTAAAATTTTATTTACTATGAAATTTTTATCAGATTGTGAATATATTTCCAGCAGTCATAACGTACATATATTGCAATGTAAAGCGTATATACGAGTGTTATAAGAAAAAAGATACGTTCGTATCTCGCGATTGCACAGAAATGTGTGCTTTCTCAAATATACGTTTAGAAGAGAACTCTCTTTCCGTCGATTTATATCGTTGCATTTCCGCGAGGCACGCTGCGTTTATACATTCGCAAAGTCGGTCGGGCACGGTATTTCGATCTACGAATAACTCCGGTTACTATGGGCACGCAAACCGGGTCGAGCTCTTGAATTTCGACTTTCAGTCGGCCAATTACTCGCGGGCAGATTTTTATGTTGTAAATATCCCGCCGTTGCGGACTGGAGATTCGCGGTAATACCGATTTACGAGCCAACTATTTCGGCGTGCAGCTGCACGGGTTTGTTGCACCGCAAAGTCGGTTATTTATCGTCGCGGGGATCTTCGCGGAGTTGATCCTCGCTCGGAAATTTCGGCTCAGCTCGCAGCACGAGACACGTTTGCCTTTTATAAAATACTTCGCAACGATCTTCCGCGACGTCTTCCGCAACTTGATTCGAGAGAGTCTTCGGTCTATTTAAAACGTTACTTCGATCGCTAGAAAATACGACGCCATGTCGAACTTTTACTAATTTATTAATAATTTTAAATCTCTTTAAGCTATACTTAGCTGTTTGTCGAACGGGACATCCGGTACGAGACCAGCTTTACGTGGCACGCGAGAACCGAGCGGTGGCTTGGCGTGTGTAAATTAGGTAACCTGTTCAGATCTTCTCTCGCAGACTGGTTTGGCGACTCTTGAGGCAGGTCGCTGCTTGACGCGACATCGTTGACCTCAAAGAGGATGCCTAGTCCGTGAATGGAGCACTGCTACCATTGACTGCCGTCGCCTTCTACAACGTAGCATTTATGGGCCGACATAAATTATTGTAGCTAAAAATGAAAATATTTTTCTTTTTCTTTAGATGTACGCTAAATTCGCGCAGTCACGATATCCTATTAATATTAAAAAAATAATGACAGGTTTGGTAACTAGTGATAATGGATTTATTTAATAATAATTTATTAATAACTTATTAACTATCTTCCTTTGATAATATAATTATTATAGTACTGTCTGGATAGTGTCATCAAATTAAACAAATATTTAAACAGACAGCTGATATCTAATTCTCTCCATGAATATTAAAATTATAATTCACAGATGACTTTCCTAGACTTGTGAAAAGTTCTTCTTACCGTGATGCCCCTTTATCTTTACGTGAATCCGCAATGTGTGTAGCATTTACAACAGGTCATCCGTTTGTACTTGCTCGGTCGAGAAGTTCGGGAAGTGTTCCTTCAAGCATATTCCGTCAAGCTGCTAAAACACTTCGCAGATTAAAATGATTAACAGGTTGACTACCGGCTGCCGACTATATCCTGAGTAGATCGTCAAACTTTAACTTACGTCTTGCGAAACACCTTGTCGTGTTGGCAAGTTCGCTTGCACGCACTCGCAAAATACTTTTAGTTACTGCAAGTTTCGCTAACCACTGAATATTCACATTATTATCGTCCAGGAGTTGATAACGAAAATTAGAACCCTTTATCAAGAGGTTGTATTTTAAAATGGAAATTAATGGAAATTTTGATGGATTTTTCTTTTTTCTTACTTATGTAGACACTTATAAAATGCTTATTTGTCGGATTCGTCGGAGAATTAATTAGGCGATTAAAATTGTTATAGAATTGCATGATTAGAAAATTCTTTTTATCGAAACGTACATAATTTAACATTAGAATCATCATGATGAATGGTGTCATTTTGCCTCCACCAATTGTTCCAAATTTTTTTCTTTTTTGTATTAGATATACTGGATATACAATACAGAAGATACATGAATATAATAAAAATAATTCTAACAATACAAACAATACCATAATAATTTTTCACTAAACGGAAACAAAGAAATGATTAATTTAGTTTGGAAGTTCTAGCGGGATCGGTGGTTCTAGTGTTAAACCGAAGAAATATCTCCGAAATTTGCATTATTTCCTTGACACAACAGCATTTATCCCAACAGATGATACTGCAAGTATTATATCGGTTCAGATGCAATGCTGGATGCAGAAGCATGAATATATATATATATATAATTAATATTGGTCGGAAACTTGAGCTTGTTTGACTTAGTTACCAATAAATGCGCCGTATTTCAAGAAGTGATCAGGTTTCGCTACCTCAGGGACATGATCGTAGATCGTAGCGATGTATACTATAACTATTCGATAACTTTAATTATTATCAATTTGGACTAGTAAATCTCGGACTGAACTAATCCTCTCTAAAACAATATTTCTCCGACAAAGAAAAATATCTATTATACAAAGAGACATACACTCCATCGATATTATAATTACAATAAAATGTTGAGATTTAAATATTTAGAAAATTTCCTTTATAACTGAAGGAAAAAGTAAAAATGAAACGAAAGAAAAGAGGAAAAAAAAGTTTTTTACATTGTTGCTCTTTCAGATAATTTTATATTTTAAATATTTGAAAAACTAAGAACAATATTTTACTGAGGATAGAAAAAGAATAAAGAGTGTATTCAGAAATTTTTTTAGTATTATAGACATTCGAGAGCTCCGATAAAATAACAAACAAAAAAGATTTACAATAAAAGCTAGCTATCATCTTTCTTATCACGGTTGTCGCGAGCGATAAAACCACATCTCTCGAATCTGATGTATGCGTCGTTGTCTTCATCAAAAAATCACGGAGGGATAACTGCGGGGCGCCCATTAACGACGCGTATCTCACGCAAGATCGAACCAGAATAATGCTCTCTTAAGATCATCGACTTAGTTGGCGGAAGGACTCGTCGAGATGGTCGTGTTAACAATCCCTCGCGAACGAGGCTCGAAGGAAACAAATCGGCGAATCGTTAACGATCGTATTTATCGGGCGGAAACCAAATTAAAAAAAAAAAAAAAAAAGTATCAGCCTATCGGCTGGGTATATCGCCACGTCCGCTGAGGAACAGATAATTAAAGATTAAAAGCGCTCCGCCCTGCGTCTAATACGCAATCAATGTTGTCTCACATTTTACATTATCTTACATTTTATATCTTGCTTTAATGCTAACAAAAACTAGAAATAATCATGGACGTATCTCATTAGGCGTTTCAACGTAAGAAAAAAATTAGTCATGCGTTATACTATTTGCAGTAAGGGGCGAAAGATCAATGTTTCCCGCTACGAAGAGCGAATTCGCGTTCCACTGAATGATTAACGGTGTTTTGGTAACGGCGGTTTGGGGCGAATCCGAGATGCCGATACCTTAACCGTTTCTCTCCTCGTCGGCGGCTGCGATATCGTGAGGCACTCTCGTAGCGGAGTTCGCGTACGCGTTATTGGATTGCGGCGGATACCGCGGCTCAATTATTTACACACCTCTCTCTCTCTCTCTCTCTTTCTCTCTCTTCCCTCCCTTCTCTGTCTCCCTTTTCCACTCTGTACCGCGGCGATCGCATTCGCGGTAATAGAACCGCTGATTTACTGGCTTGGCTCGGCCGTCCATCGCTTGGGTTGCGTTCAAATTAGTTCCAGGGTATCGACGGGAGATGTGTTCTTCGAGGGCATCGATGCGCCCTGAGATCGCACCCTCGCTGCCAATACCCCTAGGATATTAAGTGAGAAGATTCGGCAATTAGTGCCTTGAGCGGAAAGATTGACCTGTTAACGAACCCGGATCGATAGCATAAGCTTTCCCAGGTTAGATGTATCTGAAATGGAACGAGATAGATAGGGGAAATGAAACAGCCGCCGTTTCTCGAACTGTAAATGCGCCAGATGACGAGGGAAGGCACGTCTCGATGTGCTCGCGTCCGATTCATACTCGCGCATTTGCTCTAATCACGGTATTATATTGCGCGCCGGCGGATAACTCGCGGAGTCGCGCCGAGACTAAGTAAAGCGCGCCAGAGAGAAGAGAGACGTCGGGAATTTATGCAGACAGCCGGGCGACGTTGGCAAGACAGCTCGCTTTATGCTGATCCTCTTATCCCGAACCGTGAGAATCCACGCGCGCGCGAGCGTATCTGAGCGTGCAACATGTATCGCATTTATGGCACGTGGAAACAGGGTGAATCGGAAGACGAGGGAGCTCAAGGAAAATGGAACGGCTTACGAACTCGAGGTATGGAGCCGTCGAATCAGGATCGCGAAAGAAACGAGCGTATCGATCCATGGAGTAAATCAAAGCTCTCCATTATTATTTGCGTCGCGATGTAAACGATCTGTGGACGTTCGAGAAGGTCGTTCGAAATTCGCTGCATGCGAGCGAACGGAATAACATTTCCGGAACGTGGAAAAAGAAGGATGTATGGGAGGAGAAATACACGCGGTAAATTTATCCTTTCATCCGCCAAATGGTAAAGATATGTCAGCAATTGATCTCTCTGGATTTTCTACCGTTACATATTTGTGTCTGAAAAATGTGCAGGGATATATGTGCATATGGGTATATATATTTCGTTAACTGTCGCAGGTATATTCACGGTGATGTGCTACAACGTGCTGTGCGACAAGTATGCGACGCGGCAGATGTACGGCTATTGCCCGAGCTGGGCGTTGGACTGGGAGTACCGAAAAAAGGGTATCCTCGACGAGATACGGCACTACGCCGCGGATATCATCAGCCTGCAGGAGGTCGAGACGGACCAATTCTACAACTTCTTCCTGCCGGAGCTCAAGCATGACGGTTACGACGGCATATTCTCACCCAAGTCCCGCGCGAAGACGATGGCGGAGAACGATCGCAAGTACGTCGACGGCTGCGCAATTTTTTACAGGACCGCCAAGTAAGTGCATTCCCCTGTATCTCTCGATTCGTGTCTGCGACGATAATGCGTTACGTGACCGACGAAAACGGCGGATACTGTTAGTATGGGTTGCGATAAAACGCAGTCATAAGCGTCACTTCAAACAGATTGATATTTATATTAAACGAAAAATTTATGATTTATCGCGTTAGCTTTTCCCCGCGTCGAAGTCAGACAGAAAGTTCAACGTGCCGAGAATAAACGTATCGCAAAATCTGCCATATAAAGATAGAAATATTTATTCCTGTGTTTTATTTTTCTTCAGTTATATTTCTAACAAACTTTCCTCTTGTACGATAAACTTCCTAATTTTCTATATTTTTATAAAAAGAAATATAAAGGTGTATAGTATTATAATATTAACGAACAAATGTCTGTAATATTAGCAGATAATTGTTCGAACAATCGATTTAATTTACAGACAATTGAAAGTCATTACACATGAGGGAATTTTTTTATTACTTACAGTCCTACAATGTAAGAGGACATCACGTTAATTTGTCATTTCCCTTTACATATTTTCTTGTCACGCTGAGCGTTCTAATTGGCTCACTGGAGAAAAAGAAAAAATGATTATCGATAGTCTAGACGCTCCGGCGATCCTTCGATTTATTAAGAGGCGTGGTAATTTAATTAATAAACGTAGGACGGTGCAGTAGAAAACGTTGTTCAATGTAATACAGTTATCGATCACGTGCAATCGAATGCTTCGCAAGTAAATGCACCGTGAAATTTCTCAAAAGATCAAATCGATAACATCACAACGCGTAAATAAATTACGGCAAAAGTAAAGCAGTAAAATGTTAATAGTCGATTGATTTTTGAAACAGTTTATTACTCCAATTTATAATTTTGCCTTTTATCATATATTATATCAGCGCGTTTAATTTATCTCTGCATTTAAATTTTATTTTTAAGGAAATACAAATGACAAGCGATAATTTGAATATGAAATACTTGGTACGCAAACGCTTCGATTGCTTTGATGTAAAAGCCAATGATGAAACAATTTTTTTTTTTAATTATTCGATGTTACCGTTTTCACAAGATCCCACATATTCGATATTCAATTATTTTGTCAAAGATTATCGTTACCGCCTTTGCGGAATCAATTATAGAGCCGCTTATCTCTCAACGCTTCGATACTGAAAACAACGGAGGCCTTCCAAAGCGCGACATTTAATTCCGAACGGGATGAAAGATGCATCCGCTCGTAATTTAACAAAGCGTCGCGCGCGTGTCTGGCGTGTAATAACGTCATGTAATCCAATATCGCGTCAGATAGTAACGCCGCGTCGTAAATCGCCGTCTGTGTTTAATAGAAAAGCGAACGCGACGCTTTCGCGAACGAACATTTTCTCGTATTCGACGAACAAATTAACCGGAAATCGATGGATCCCCTCCATGACGAAAATAATATTCGTGCTCGAGAGAAATGGAACAATATCTTCAAAATAAACTCCCAAGAGCGAAATAACAGTAACGATAACAATAATAACAATAATAATAATAATAATAATAATAATAATAATAATAGTCAGAAAAAATGAACGATATTAAATATCCAGTAATCATAAAGTAACAGGAACATAACATTGTTATAATTTACATTTTAAACAAAGTAATGTTATGTAATCATATGTTATATTTTACACTTATATTGTAAGTATAACAGTATAACACTAATGTTATGTTATTGCTAGTTGATGTTGACTGGGAAAGCGCAAATAAAAGAAAAATTTGGTTAGCTCGAAATTTAAATGTAAAATAACGCTGCTAAGATTTTAAGGACGATTCTAAAACTACCGGATATTCTAAAAAAAAAAAATTTTCTCAGACAATTATTTGAATAATTTCTTTTCGCGGAAAAGCGAAGAAAATCTGTGCAAGACAATTTCGTGCTCATTTCCTCCTGCACGTCGTGCACAGACGCGACACATTTCCGATTTCAATGAACCTGATTTCGATATCGTCGCGCGTGTTACTGCATCGATACGCACAAATTGCCTTCGCAATGGCCACTAACCGAGAGCGTCCCAGCTGCACGTGCACATTGTCTATGACGCATTAATCATTGCGCCCGGCCGCTCTTCTGCCCGAGATATCTATTTCGATTAATGTTTATTTTCAAAATATCTCGCGGCATATTGGAAGGTCTCCACGATATTACATTTGTAATGCCGACCCCAGAGCTATCGAGACGCGATTAATGCGCCGGTATGCATGCGTCGTGCATAACAGTTCCCTTTATAATACAACATCGTAAATAGATGAAGTAAATGTCTCTCTACGTGACAATATTAAGGTCAACGGCGGCAAACGTGTCCTCCCTTGATCCCATCCCTTAAATGTTCTGCATTCAAGTCGTTTCAACTAACCGCATCGTTTGCAGTATTAAACGTCAGTTGATTTAGGAGAAGCTCGTAAACTAGAAAATATGGGCGTAAAAGTTTCATATTTTAATTAGTAAAATTATTCAACGAAACTTAAATAAAAGTGTCTCTTTTTAAAGATATTTTATTTTATTAAGACGTCGAAACCGAAAGTAACTCGACAATATCAAAACAAAAGTTTTGTAGTTTAATTAGTAAAATTATTCAACGAAACTTGAATAAAAGTATCTCGAATAAAAGTGTATTTTCTTAAAATATTTTATTTTATTATGAGACATTATTATTTAAAGATACTTTGTGTAATTTGACGTGAAGCAGAGAATCACGAATGCTATGTACATCGAAATTCGTGATCGAATAGCAATCACCGCGTTCGTCTGACTAAAAACGATTCGTACTACTGTGACGAGGAGACTGCTGTGCAGTTCGCATGGAACTTTCTCTTCGTTTTATCTCCTTCTCTTTTCCATCTCATTGTACTTGACCGGTCGAAGGTGAAAAAGAAAAAGAAAAAAGAGGAGCTTACGGTTTTACGGCTTGCAAAGACGTGGCCGTCGATTTCAATCCGGCTGCACAACGCGACTAAATCGACCGAACCAAATCAGCGTTCACGCGATGAGCGTAAAGTTCAACTCGCGTTCAATTTCCGTCTTCGACTCTCACCCCTCGATCATTCCCAGCTTTATTGCCTCGTCGTAAGTTATACGGCGAGATGTCGAAGTGCTGTTTAAAAAAAAAAAAGGTCAGACGAAAAGAGAAACAGGAAACTTGCTTCGCGCAGTAACAACTAGTAAAATTCTGCAAACTATTAAACGATACACTTTTTTAGCGCGCTAATTTCATTTTAAAATTGTGAAAGAAAAGTCATAGTCAATCAACTACATATAGGCAATTATAATTATACGAAAAGAATGATTTTGGAGTATCTAAAAATTTAACTAAATATAGATCTGAGAATAAGTTTGTTGAAATCAAATCAACAAAATAATTGTGCAGAACACTTAAACGTTAATGACAATGCTACAAAAAGTTTTAACAATATTCTAACAAACCAGCAGTTTGAGTGTCCTGTACAGTTATTTTAATAGTCAAATAAAATTATTTTCAGATTTATATGTAGCTTCAACAAAATCGTTTTCTCTCTCTCTCTCTCTCTCTCTCTCTCTCTCTCTCTCTCGTCTATTATAAATATAATTATATTATATGTATTTTATAAATTATAATGTAAGTTTTAATTATACAATTATACATTTTTATTTAACTCTTCGTGATCTTTGTATTAAAATGACGTTTTTTCAATTTCAATAAACAATCGAGACCGAGTCAGAGAGCTGTTTTAGACAGCGGAGAAAAGTCAATTACGTATTTGGGATTTCCGCCGTCAACCCTGTTTCTTATTTTTGGCCAGTCCTTACCACACAAATCCTCTTTCTGCTCTCTTGAGCGACATTGCAGATGACGTTGATTCAATCTTGTTTACGAGCGAAGAGAAGCTCGCCGCGGGCAGAGGGGAATAATAGTTCATATAATAGGTCTTCGGAGAAGAATATATTTCTCAAGCATACGTGCCTTACATATTGTACTGCAGGGTGGTCAGGAGAGGGAGAAAGAAAAAGAAGTCCGGGTATTCTACATCGCGTACGTGGTACGCTTCCTTCACGAGTCCTCTGGTCTTGTGACGAAAATCGCTTTACACCGAGGACGGTGATGTTGCGTCCCATCGTATTGCAAGCGTCAAGTTCTACGTTTTCACGAGACAAAATTGAGTCCCATCGGTCATTTACCCGGACTTGGACGACCGATTGAAGAAGACCCAGGAATTCCTTTCCCCATCGACTCGCAATGCCAATCGACACTGCAGTCTTCGATGCGACGATAGAAAAGACGATTCGAACTTTTAACCCCGAATTATCTCTTCTGTTTGATCTGCTGATATTTTTCGATTCGGCTCTTGAATATAGTTTATTTTCTATCGAACAAATTTAATTTTATACAAAATATTGTATATCGAAATGTATGTGCCCAATATTGTATTTTTTTTTTTTTTTACATCTGTTCTTTTCGTTTTCTTTTGCAGATTTTCTTTGATAAAGGAGCATTTAGTTGAATTCAATCAATTGGCGATGGCAAACGCGGAGGGTTCAGACAACATGTTAAATCGTGTTATGCCAAAAGACAACATTGGATTGGCTGCATTACTTAGGACTAAGGAAGCCGCTTGGGATAACGGTGAGTACATCGATATTTCTAAATTTAAGTATTCATCTAAACGAGATGAATATTTCTTCTCAATATCGTATTTCGCAGAATGTAAATAAGTAGATAGTAGTATTAGAAGTGTGTGATATTTACAGCGAGTCAAATATCGTATCCAGTCTGCGATTCGAATTTGGATGCTCAATATTCTCGGTTTATACAAATGCATAACCTTGGCTGTTCGAAACTGCTTTTGGTTATATAAACAATATGTGAGCTATACAAAATATAGAGAATATAAAATAAGTTTTACGTTTAAAAAAACGCCGTGATATCAAATTTGTTTTTTTTAGAGAGGAAAACTCGATTCGGTCTAATGAGTATTCGTGTAGCTTTTAAAACGTAAATCTATATATTATTATACCCACATGGCTATGAGCATGAATAACGTATCCATTTGGATATTTCAGCGTTATCAGCATTATCTAGAAATAATCTCGAAACGCGCAAGAGGGTAAGATAACGTGAACCATCCGCGGAAGTAAAAGGAAGGCGGAGAACGTAGTTTCGATGCTAACTGAAGCGTCTGCTCGTTTTGCACACATCCAGGGTGAATAGCGCGTATCCAGCTGCGTGTTTGCACACCCTGAAACACGAAAGTAATTAACGCGCCGGTCTCCCGATGAAGCTGCTACTACCGGACGTGCAATATACAGAAGTCCACGTTTTTCCCGCGGCTCGAGGAAGTACGCGCGTTCGATGATTGAAGCGAGCAAATCGAGCACGATACCCCGATCCAGTGTATGTGCACAGGGTGAGCCGATAATACCATGCTTCTGCCAACTGATTTGAGCTACAGTCGATTTTTTTCTCGACAAAAGTATCAAACCGTTGATACAGTTTTACAATTTTAATTTAATCAGAAATCTTGGTGTTGCTAAATTTTAAAGCTGTATTTATTTTGCCAAAATTGTTGCAGCAATCTTTTTTTTTTAGCGTGTCATTAAAAGTTACGAAATAGAGACTTAAGGGTCCATAGAGGTGTCATTCGATCGAATGTCTTCAAAATTGGGTTTGAACTTATCGGAGAGAGCAATAAACCCGGAACACCCTGTATAAGCGACGTATCGCGGAATGCGCGAGCAAACCAGGTCCGAGATTTATATAGCAGCCCAAAGGTCGAGAGCGGCTCTTACGGCTCACTCGGACGCGTCGGAACGTGCTCTCGTTAATGAGCCATTACCTACGTTACATTAATCCATACCGGGCGCAACGACCGGCTGGGAAAAAGCGACAGACTCTTCTCGCTCTCTGGCATAGGAGGATAATCGATCGCGTCTGCGAGACCAGCGACTCCTCGCAACCTCCTGCGCGCTTCCTGCGCTGCGGTTAACACCTGGTTAGCTTCTTGTATATCGCAAGTTATTACTTTGAGATAGACCGCTGCAGCGAACGTCGGATTATCAAATCGTCTCGTAATATTTCTAATTTATACGCACGTGTACGATTGTAGATATCGAAATAACTCTGAGAAAATTCCTCGACCGTTACAAGTAAAGATTTTTATAAACGTATGAAATTAAAAATTTCTTAACGCAACTTAAAAGACGCTCGTTATCGCGAGTGATCGTTCGTTAAACATCTCATTAAAAACTCTCACTGAAAACTTTTTACTCGTTAGATACACGAGCAGATTGAACATTTTTAATTTTCGGCACTTAGGAAATGCGCGAGTATAAATATTTTTGCGGATATATTCACAAAAAATGTTCATTCGTAATAGTCACTGGTTCTTCGATATACTCGAAAATTAGGGAATCCCCGATCTTCATCGTTCCCAGAGAATTTCTGCGTAAATAAGATTAATCCTATCCGGCATGACTCACAGAAGTTCGCTGAACTTCCCCGAATATTCGCGTTACATTCGCACCGTGCATTTCTCGCTTTGATGCCGTTGCTCAGCTTCTCTATACACACATGTTTAAGACTTGGCCAATTGAGTAATCGTGAATAATCAGAACACGTCGTAAATTGAACCAGACTGCCAGCGTTTAGATGAACAAACAGCCTAAGTCAAATATAACCGTACATTCATCATTCTCTCGATGAATCTCAATGCTCTCAGCGTATTTCTGTAATTCTGATATTTAACCAACTCCCAGAACGCTCTGCCTTGTCTCCACTCCGCTAGGCAACGATGTTGCAATCGTAATTGTTACCCCGTGACTAATTAAAACACTTGAACTTCAAATATTTCAAAAATCTGATGTGTTAGGCCAATTGCGCAGTCTGATTTCAGCAATTTGGATTCAGCGTATAAAATTACATAGAAAACCACTCCTACTGCTCAAACATCTTCTAACCCTCGATTTCGCAGGCCTGTGTTGTTATTATTAATCCCGTGGAAAATATATCGGTTTTATATCAACGATATTTTCAGTAAATTTTAACAGAATATATGATATATAATTGGAAAAAATTCAAGGAGCGCTTAATGCACGCGATAAGAGGACATTCGCCGGTCGTTTCCTCGCGGAGATAGATGCGCCCGTGTCGAGAAAGGATATCGAGATTAGATCTCGATCGAAGAGCTAAAATCCATGTAACCATGTCAGTGGGGCGCGATTAATGATCCCTCACGTTCGAATACGAGCAAACTCGAGACACGTCCCAAGCCTTATGTGGGACCGAGCTGATAGCCTCTCGGCTCGGCTGTTGAAAAAGGATCGCCCGTTCCTTGAGAGGGAACATCTCCGGGATACGCGAGTCTCCATCGCTCGGATTAATAGTGGTACCATCGGCAGTACTAATAGTCCGATATCAGCTGCCGGCACGATGAACGATGTGCCGCCGTTCAAAGATATGAGAGGAGCAAGTGAGCGGATCGTTTATTCACCAGATTCTTTTCCGCGCGCAGAAATTTAAAGGCGATGTCGGAGAAACGTTAATCATTCGCCGCGCACGAGGAACGTCTTCTCTGAGTCTCCGATAGCGTCCTCGGTTCTCCAACCGATAACGTAACCGCTATAAAGTATAAAGACATCGTACCGTTCCTTCCTGAATTTTATACGTTATACAGTTTCGCGATGTAATCATATATATTATATCAGGCCTGTCCAAAATTTAGAACTCGAATTAAACACTTCCTCCTCTCTATCGTCTTATTGAGCGAGAGAAAAGAATAGATGTTAGAACTTTGTTCAGCGTCTATCCTTTTTAGTTTTCTATATGGAAAGAATGATTTTGCTGCAGTGTCTAAAAATTAATTAGATACAGATCTGAAAATAACTTTATTGGATTATTAAAGTAATTAGTTACAGGACACAAACATTTCAAGCATAATGAATAATGCTGCAAAAAGTGTTGACCTTTTAGCAACCAATTTGATCGTCTTACATTATTTTGAGGTTTCAAACAAAATTATTTTCAGATCTATATCTAGCTAAATTTTTACTTTAATAAAATCAAGAGGGAGCATAATATGAGCTAAATTTTGGACAGATCTTTATTATATCAAATGCGAGTGATGTCAAAATTTTAATTGAATAAACCTTTCAATTAAGTATCATAGTTATTGTAACTGTGCTTCGCTTTTGCATTGTTTACTTTGAAATCACAGCTGAATGTTCTTTAAAAGTTTACGTTCATCCTTTTTTCTCGAGGATAGAAAAGCAAAGCGCTGGCTTTACGGGCGGTTAACCGGATGAAAGTTTTCACCAGCTTAAAACACCGACGAACTCGTTCAGATCCCACGGGATTATTCCTCCTCGTGCCGAGGATATAGCAACCGTCCGGCGAACGGAATGCATTTGGATACGACGAGGCGATACGAAGTATCGAATTTCTCGGAGGTGCGTGAGAAAACACGAGAAAAAGAAAAGGAGAAGGAAGTTTAATTATTCGTGGAATAATCAACTGCTGCGCGATTACGTCTGGAAAATTAAAGCAGTTACGCTTCTAAAAGCGTGATATAAATGTTATTCGAATCGAGTTAAGATAAAACATCATCAAGGAAACTTCAAGGAAGTTTCCTTACTGAGAAATTTCTGTAATGCCGGATATGGAACAGTTAAGACGAATTATTAAATCAGCATTTAACTGTAATTTTGCCTTTTTTGTCTGCGATAATTAATATCTGTTCTCATTGCTTATATTTAGGTATATAGATGCATTATTCTGCATCTTTATTAATTATTGTATTTAATAAAAAAAATTTATTATTATAACATCTCTTAAAATATTATTGCTTTGATTAGAGGATGATCAGAAAATCGAATTTTTTTTTCATACACTGTTCAAAAGAACAATAGTAATCAAATCCCTGGGTTAAATAATATTTTATTATCTTTAACTTCTATGTTTGTAAAAATATATTTAAATCAATCTCCATTTTTACAGTTTAAAAGTAAATAACGTCCATGTTAACGTATACACTTCGTAAATAATGTACTAAATTTGAATCGGATTTAAAACATTTTCTCAAGTTAAATTATTCTACTCCATATTGTTTTAGTCAAATTAACAATATATTGGAACGATCTACAGAAATGATTCAAAATAATTCAAATTCTGAGTATAATTTAAATTAACAATGTATATATACATACACATTCCTGAATGACTTGTGACTCAAAATTGTTAAGAAGACAAGTTAGGACTTTTTTTCTAGTATGAAAAGACACCCTCGTTTGAAACGTGTTCGTGCGTCTGTGTCGTGTAACGTTACACGGATGATTCGTATTTCCACGACCTCGTCCGCTATCGGCAGATAAATCGTCGGGTAATTGAATTCGCGAGTGAACGAGTAACCACGAGAGAGCCCCACCCCACACGTCGTCCGTTACACATGGGACAGCTTGTCGCTTAATTAATCGCGCTCGAACGCAACGTGTCCCGTGAGAAGAGGAGCGCGTTCGCTTCGGGAGCACGTTCAGCATCCTCCGCCCGAGGCGAAGCAGAACTCGCGAGCAGACTCTCGTATAGGCTTTATAATACGCACATATTGCAGAGACGCCAATCCTATCTCGAACGAG